TAGGGCACTGCCCACCATGCCCACACCTTATGAGGGCATAGCACTTTATGCAGATTTGTCGGCCACGACAATGGCGCGCCGCAGAGACTTTTCCACAATTACTAAAACACTGCGGAATCACAAACTGGCATATAGATGGGGCTTCCCTACGAAAATCCTGATATGGCGCAACGGCAAAGTGAACGTGATAGCGGACCCTGATACAGGTCTCAACACCTTGAAGGAATGTGGGACAACCAAGGATCAGCAAACCCTCCAGAGGCCTCCCTCCAACGATTCCGGCCGGAATGGAAGATGGTGGGCCAACCTCCACGCTAGAGCACCATAGGGCACCAGTCACCCGCGCAACATCATTGAGGGACCGTACCATCGCATACTCTATGTGAAGGAGGACCCGACCAAATGAACTTTGAATTACAGAGATTGGCGCTACGCTAATTCAGGACTTTCACACAACCCTACGTGCTGCTAACTTCAGGACTGGTAGTATATGTACAAACGTTCTAAATCTATGAATATATACTGTGATCCCCCTGCCATCCCCCCACACTGTGACACTTAAGGCCCTGGACCTCCCACTAGGTACCCCCGGTCAGTGCCAATTCTGAGGGTTGGAAGCCTACCCCCACTGACATTCAGAGGCCCTGCCCGTAGGGGAAGACACCACAGCAGGGAGCAGACCCCTCCTAGTATGACCACCCGGGCGTCCTGCCCCGAACACCAACATCCCACGGAGCATAAATATCTACCCGCCACGTGCGGGAACACTAACAACCCCCAATGGGCACAGAAGTCCCTCACGAACAACCGAAGGGTGTCCGGGGTGGCCACCAATACCAGGCATACACTGACCCACGGGGGCGATCACTATAATGGGGCCCTCATGCCGTAGGAATAACCCCTTAGATTCATGCACCAAGGGGTCATGCCCAGTGCTCAAATGACAGGGATGTGATAAACCCCCAGGGACCTAGAAACCAGACCTCAGGGATGACGGGGATGAAGGCCATACCCCGAGTTTGCCAGATTACCCCATGACAATCCACACATTCACACGCCGTATGGCAACTACAGACACTAACAAAAAACAAAAAAACACATATACCCAAACTGAATCGCACATAACTACCCCTACCGTACTATGAGATATCGATACTACCCCCTCACCGGGGACGGGTGCCCCTACCATGCGGGAAACGGGAGGTTGACCATAAATTGCTCTCCCACTATCACACCACTATACATGATTGTGCAATCTGATGTTTAGAAACGCTACTAAGGCTCAGGAGCGGACCTGCTCCTCACGACCCCCCACCTGGGATGATAACTGGGGAGACACAAGACAGCTCCCCGGCACGCCCACAGCTGTACTCTCAATGGAGAGAGTTGTATATATATTTTGTTTCTGTTGTATTTGTTTATGTTTTTTCTCCCCCAAGTTTATGCATGTCTCATAATTGTGATACCATACCAAAGACGCGGTCCCCGACTGCTAACCCTTGCACATACCAACCAGGACTCATTCCCTATCGACATGAGAGAAGGTGTACATCCTCGCTCACCCAAGCTCTGGGACAATCCACCCAACACCACATTTCAACCCCCTGGCTAGAATGACACACCAATTTAAGTGCCTCTCCCTAAATGTCAATGGCCTGAACAGCCCGTTCAAGAGACACTCTGCCCTAAAGGAGATACACAACTCAAAAGCAGCGATAGTCTGCCTGCAAGAAACCCACCTATGTAAACACAACCCCCCAGCCTTTAAACCGACCTGTTACCCACAAGTATTCCACGCATTAGCACCGCACAAATCCAAAGGGGTCTCTGTACTATTCCATAAAGACTGGGTCTTTCAGCCCACTGAGATCTACATTAGGCAGATTGTTAATCGTGGTAGGCGCACTCAATGGCATTAACGTTACAGTGGTGTCCCTGTATGCCTCAAATGACGCTCAGGCCTCCTTTCTGGGGTCTGCTCTTAACAAAGTAGCAACCCTTAGACAAGGTCACACTATCATATGCGGGGATTTTAACTGTACACTGGATCCCAACCTAGACATCCAACGAGCCCAGGGGAAAAAGCCCCTACACCAAGCTACCTCCCTAAGCCGGAACCTCTCCATGCTCCTCCACAAACACGACCTATATGATACATGGCGCAACATGTTCCCTAGCGGGAGGGACTATACTTACTTCTCTCCAGTACATCATACATATTCACGCATAGATATGTGCCTAGTCGATAAAACGACACTGCAGAATATTTCAGACGTAACGATAGGGCAGAGGACATGGTCAGACCATGCTCCGGTCATTACTACCTTTAAGACCTTATACCCTGTGAGAGGTAGGAGTACCTGGAGACTAAACGAAACCCTGATGAGCGAGACAGACCTCATAAAAAAGCTGACCAATACGATCCGATGGTTCTACGAGGACCACGCCAATGACGAAACTACCATTCCGACGCAATGGTTCACTCTCAAAGCAGTAGTCAGGGGCCTCCTTATACAGGCAGGAGCAGCATGCAAAATGAAGGGACAAAGGGAGAAAGAGAGCCTACTAGAGGACCTCAAACACTTGGAAGATAAAAACAAACTCAACCCGTCAAAAAAAATAACTAAACACATCAATAGAATAAACTCTAAGCTACACACGCTTTCCCTAACGACTATGGAAAGACAAATGCGCAAACTCAACCTAACTCATTATATGCAAGGCAACAAAGCCGGCAAACTACTGGCGCGCCGGCTAAAAACACAATACCTACAGTCTAAATTACCTTACATGACATCAGCTAGCAACACAAAACTATACAACCCCCAAGACATAGTGGAAGAACTGGCCACCTACTACGATAAACTCTATAACTTACACCAGGCTAACGACACCTACCAACCCTCCCAACACGAAATCCTTGATTTCCTACAGGAAGTAGACCTGCCCCGACTGACGGATGATCATAGGGCAGCTCTCCTGGCCCCATTCTCAGAGGAGGAAGTGCAGCGTGCCATATGCTCTCTTTCCAAACGTAAAGCACCGGGCCCAGATGGTTTCCCTAATTCCTTCTACACAACACTCGTCACACAACTCACACCGCACCTTACCAAATTATTCAACCATATCAAAACTACAGGGCACATCCCTAAGGAAATGCTCCTCGCACATGTAATAACGTTGCCCAAACCGGGAAAACCCCCAACGGAATGCGCGAACCTGAGGCCAATATCACTGCTGAATGCAGACACCAAACTGTATGCGAAGCTGTTAGCTTCACGTATCAAGCCACTACTACTAGACATGGTTTCACCGGAACAAGCCGGATTTGTCCCATCTAGACAACCAGGCGACAACACCCGCCACTTCCTAAACCTAATCCACTGGGCACAATCGTCCCATCAACAGGGCATACTACTAGCGTTAGACGCTGAAAAAGCGTTCAACCGCCTCAACTGGACGTATATGTCGGAAGTACTATCAAAAATGGGGTTCCCCCCTCCGTTCCAAAGTAGCATAGTGGCCCTTTACTCAAGTCCAACGGCTAAAGTATATAACACAGGCTTTTTTTCCAGGCCATTTAATATCACGAACGGGACCAGACAGGGCTGCCCTCTTTCCCCATTGATCTTAATCCTCTGCATGGAACCACTGATTAAACACATAAAAACAACAGATACAATCAGGGGACTGGCCACTCCGATAGGAAAGATGAAAATTGCACTATTCGCAGACAACACCCTGCTGTTTATCACGAAACCATCCCAATCACTGCCCCACTTACTAACACAACTTGACAGATACGGCAGAGTGTCATATTACAAAAACAACGCGAAGAAATCACAAGCCTTAGCCCTCCGCCTGCCCCAACGCACTTTACAAAGTCTCAAAGCTAAATACCCGTTTGATTGGCGGAAGACGTCACTCTCATATCTAGGCATCCAGCTACCCGCCTCAATTACTACAATAACCCAAGTTAATCATATCCCACTCCTGCACAAACTAGACTCCCAGCTTAGACAATGGGAAGACAAAGCACATCATGGCTGGGTCGTATCAATACGGTAAAGATCTTACCGCACATCTTATATCTCTTTAGAACCCTGCATATACAGATCCCAAACTCATTGCTAAAAAGATTCCAATCCACTATAAATGCACATATATGGAGAAGGAAGCTCCCCGCATCTCCCAAAATCTTCTCTGGAGACCCTTCTCGAGAGGAGGCCTGAGCGTACCCAACATACAGCTATACCACCAAGCCTCAATAATGGCACAGGGCATAACGATACTAGAATGAACGACACCTCCCATATGGCTGGTGTTGGAAAACGCATGTCTGACACGGGACTGTGGAGGAAGCACTGTGGGCTAGTTGCCACCACCGATCAATACACCCCGCCATGTTACCCACTACGGAACTAATGCTCCGTACCTGGGCGAAGGCAACCCAAAAAATAGGAGCAGGCAGGGACCTCTTGTATGCAGCCCCCCTACAGACGCTAACACTACACACGACAGATATGTGTCTAGATGCATGGACTCGCCACGGCATCTCCCATGTATATACTCTATTCGACTCCGCTGGCATAATACCCTTTCCAACACTGCAACAGACCTTCTCCCTCCCCTCCAGGGAAGTGTTCACATACCTACGCGTAAAGAACATACTTCACGAACAGAAATTACTTACTGACAGTACAGCTCCCAAATCACGATTTACCCTCAAATGCCAAGGGAAACTAAAAAATACCAAAGCCCTGTCCTCAGGGCCAGATTAAGAGCCCAGTGGGCCTAGTGCTGACAATTATGATGGGCCTAATTACAGAATCATATCGACCAAAAACAGTAAAACACTCCCAAGCATCATGTATCTGATGGAGATGGTGCTGGAGAGAAAGAAAACAGCAGCTATAAGAAAACACATACCCTAGGCTAATCTCTCTCTAATTTATGTTTTCATCTTTCAAGTAAATCCATAACCCCTAACAGCAGTGTCCAGTCAAGCAGGAAGCCAATGGGCATGGTAAAAGGGTGTGCCACTGACACAAATCACGTAACCTGCCAAAAGGGGCGAACATACCCAAAAAGAGGACATGTCTGCTCAAAGAATTAGAAAGCCAGCCTGGCATGAATGCATGTCAGGCTGCCTGCCAATCATGCAGCTGGCCAACTAAGGGCATACTATGCAGACAGCACCCTGAGCTTGGCATAAATGCATCTAAGCACTCGCTGGTCCACTTGTCTCCTTACCTTCTTACTAGCAAGCAGAAGCTCCTGGTATATGGTCGGGGACAGAGAAAAGCTGTATGTAGTGAATGTAGAAGAAAGGGAACATGCCACAGTGTTAGAGAGACCAAAGTCAGCATTACCTTAAAGGATCACTATAGGGTCAGGAACACAAACATGAATTCATAACCCTATAGTGTTAACACCACCATCTAGCTCCCCTGGGCCCCTCATAAATATAGCAAAATCCTACTATATTCAAGTCTGCATGCTGTTAGACTCATAAAAACAAGCAGTCTGCTGACATCATTAGAAGTGGTGGCCTGATCCAATCACAGTGCTTCCCCATAGGATTGGCTGAGACTGACAAAAGAGGCAGATCAGGGTCAGAGCCAGCATGATTCAAACACAGCCCTGGTCAATCAGCATCTCCTCATATAGTTGAATTTAATTAATTAATCTCTATGAGGAAAGTTTAGTGTCTGCATGCAGAAGGAGGAGACACTGAATGTTTGGATGCATTTTAGGCAGCCATGACCCAGGAAGGATCTCTAACAGTCATCTAAGGAGTGGCCAGTGAAGTTATCACTAGGCTGTAATGTAAACACAGCATTTTCTCTGAAAAGACCGTGCTTACAGCAAAAAGCCTGATGGTAATGATTTCACTCACCAGAACAAATTCAATAAGCTGTAGTTGTTCTGGTGACTATAGTGTCCCTTTAACTATATTCATGGTCAGCCAGTCCACACAAGTTTTGTTCCCATACATCGCTCTTAAGTTTCCATACTTAAGTAAGAGTATGTGAAAAGTAGTTAGGGTTGCCACCTTTCTTGGAAAAACATACCGGTGTTCTATCAGTCTGGTATACCCCGTCAGATTGCTATACCCACGTCACTTCCGGGGAGGGGAATCAGCTGTCTCCTGTGCTGCACATGCGTGCTAGCACTCCTGCTACTCCTCCACAGCAAGGTCCTGGAAGGTAAGTAAAACTAGTTTTACACTTTCATTATAGTTAGTGCATTCACTAGCTTAGGCACACGGGACATTTAGGGTTAAGTGAGGGTACAAATTAGGGTTAGGTAAGTGCTTCTAACCTCTCTCACACTCTATTCTTACCCTAACCCTTGGGGTAAGGGTTAAAATAAAGTGTGAGAAATCACTATTTAGTGATATTCCCCTAAAGTGAAATATCACTGAATATGAACAAGTCCCTAATCCTAACCCTAATTTGAACCCTAACATTAACCCTAAATGTCCCATGTCCTAAGCTTAGTGAATGCACTAACTATAATGAAAGTGTAAAACTAGTTTTACTTACCTTCCAGGACCTTGCTGTGGAGGAGTAGCAGGAGTGCTAGCACGCATGTGCAGCACAGGAGACAGCTGATTCCCCTCCCCGGAAGTGACGTGGGTATAGCAATCTGACGGGGTATACCAAACTGATAGAACACCGGCCTTACTAATGTGCATAATTAAATATGTGTGGGTGACATAACATTATGTAAATCACAAGGAGTGACATAAGAGAAAATGCTGTAAAATCATCAAAAAACTACTTAGTTTAAATCTGCTGTATAGATGGATTCCTCCCAGTGCCCCCATGACTCAGTGGCCCCATGTGTCGATTACTCCAGGTCTCAGTGTTCCTATGTATCAGTGTCTCAGTGCTCCATCTCTCCCAGTGTCCCCTAGTGTCGTATCCCCAGGTCTCCCAGTGATCCTATGTATCAATGTCTCAATGCCCCATGTCTCCCTGTGTCCCCATGTATCCCAGGGTCCCCATGTCACTAGGACACTAGGAAGACGGGAGACCTGGGGACACAGGGAGACTTAGGGACATGGAGACACCAGTGACACTGGGAGACTAGGGGACTCTGGCTGGGACACATGGGGACAATGGAAAATAGGGGACACTTGAAGACATGGGGACACAGACACCAGGGACAAACATACTAGAGACACTGGCTGGGGGACATGGGGACATTGAGACATGGGGGCACTGGGAGACATGGGGACACTGAGACACCAGGGTCACAGACACTAGGGACACTAGCTTGGGGACATTGTGACACTTGAGGCACTGAGAGACATGGAGGCACTAGGAGACATGGGGACAGTGAGACACTGGCAGACTGGGGGCACTAGGGGTCACTGGGAGACTAGGGGGCACTGAGACACCAGGGACACTGGCTGGGAGACATGGGGACACTGTGTCCCCATGTGTCTGTGCCATAATATCTCCCAGTGTCCCTTAGTGTCTCAGTGTCTGCCATAATGTCTCCCAATGTCCCTTAGTGTCTCAGTGTCTGCCATAATGTCTCCCAGTGTCCCTTAGTGTCTGTGTCTGCCATAATGTCTCCCAATGTCCCTTAGTGTCTCAGTGTCTGCCATAATGTCTCCCAATGTCCCTTAGTGTCTCAGTGTCTGCCATAATGTCTCCCAGTGTCCCTTAGTGTCTCAGTGTCTGCCATAATGTATCCCAATGTCCCTTAGTGTCTCAGTGTCTGCCATAATGTCTCCCAATGTCCCTTAGTGTCTCAGTGTCTGCCATGTCTCCCAATGTCCCTTAGTGTCTCAGTGTCTGCCATAATGTCTCCCAGTGTCCCTTAGTGTCTCAGTGTCTGCCATTATGTCTCCCAGTGTCTCTTAGTGTCTCAGTGTCTGCCATGTCTCCCAATGTCCCTTAGTGTCTCAGTGTCTGCCATAATGTCTCCCAATGTCCCTTAGTGTCTCAGTGTCTGCCATATAGTCTCCCAATGTCCCTTAGTGTCTCAGTGTCTGCCATAATGTCTCCCAATGTCCCTTAGTGTCTCAGTGTCTGCCATGTCTCCCAATGTCCCTTAGTGTCTCAGTGTCTGCCATAATGTCTCCCAGTGTCTCTTAGTGTCTGTGTCTGCCATAATGTCTCCCAGTGTCCCTTAGTGTCTCAGTGTCTGCCATAATGTCTCCCAATGTCCCTTAGTGTCTCAGTGTCTGCCATAATGTCTCCCAGTGTCTCTTAGTGTCTCAGTGTCTGCCATGTCTCCCAATGTCCCTTAGTGTCTCAGTGTCTGCCATAATGTCTCCCAATGTCCCTTAGTGTCCCAGTGTCTGCCATAATGTCTCCCAATGTCCCTTAGTGTCTCAGTGCCTGCCATAATGTCTCCCAATGTCCCTTAGTGTCTCAGTATATGTCTCCTTGCAGCCTTTCCCCCCCATCCCTTACTTCCCTGAGCTGTAGGCTGTCTCTGCAGGGTGGGAGTTGCTGTCTGGACTCTCTGTAGCTGCACCCCTGCAGATCATTGAGTATAAATAGGCAGAGAGTGATATGCAGGAACTTCCTATCCCTGCCTGTCTCCACACACAGCGACCCCTACTGGCCAGTGCTGGTATTGCATAGTAATCTCCATTTATACTGAGAAAAATACCAGCATTTATATTGCCAGTATCACTGTAATATTGGTACCAGCCAGGCAGCCTCAAATACTGGCTGTGCCAATAAAATAAAAGCCAGGTAGAATCCCTAAGAGTAGTGTGTGAAAAAAAAAAATGTTAAATTTTTTTATTTATTTTTTAAATCAATGGGCCTATTCCATGGGCCTGGGCCTGGGCCTGGAGCTGCAGCTCCATCAGCCCCTATGTTAATCCGGCCCTGCCTGTCCTTCTGTTACACCTCTCTCATGCAACTGGGAGACAAGGAACTTCCCCCTAACATGCACCTCTGGGAGAAGGACCTGAACATAAAAATCCACCCAAAAGCATGGCAGCTGGCTTTAGAACGAGTCAAAAAAGCCACATATAGCTTGGCCCATAGAGAAGCATACTGCAAACTAATGATGAGATGGTACTTAGTACCCACACGCCTGGCGCACATATTCCCGGGCACAACTCCCCTATGCTGGAGATGCCAAGAACATGAGGGCACGCTGTTCCATATATTCTGGTCATGAACAGGGAAGAAGTGCTCAACCCTATGGGTAGAAATAAAGATACTATACAAAGAATTCCGTTTATATCCCCATACACACCTCATAGTAATGCTATTAAAAAGATCATATTAAAGCACTGGAACATCTTTGAGGGTGATCTTAACTTACCGAGTGAATTCAGGAATCCTCCACTGTTCTCGTATGAACGGGCACAGAACCTTAGGGATAAATTAGTACACTCAGACATAGGCAGTAACAAAAAACAGAAAAGATTTCTCTCTGAACCTAAGAAAGGCACATTTCCGTGCCTAAACTGTATACATTGTAACAGTATAATCAGGGGTGATCATTTTGTACATCCAAGATCAGGCAAACCTTTTAAAATATTAGAATACTACACTTGCAACTCAGAATATGTGGTTTACATTCTGAAATGTCCATGTGGGTTTCTCTATGTTGGGGAAACTATTAGGCCAGTGAAAATACGCATAGGAGAACATAAGAGGGACATAAGAGCTGCCATTCAAAAAGGGACGTGTGACAAACCAGTACCAAGGCATTTTTTACAGCATGGTCATAGTGTTAATCAATTACGATTCCAGGTAATTGATGGTGTTAGACCGTTGCGCAGAGGTGGAGACAGACAAAAAGCACTTTTATGTAAAGAGACAAAGTGGATTAGTATTCTGGAAACACTCCACCCGGATGGTCTGAATGAGGACTATGACCTCAAACACTTTTTGTAGAATGACTTAGGATACTACAGTACTGTTTAAACGTTTTTAGTCCATTAACCTGGGCTATTTTCTTATATCCACAGTTAGTCATTGGGACCCTATATGGCATGCCTGTCACTTTTACTCCTTAAGAGCTTTTAAAGAGTTTGACCATCTTGTGGTCCGTTACCCGAGAAACCACGGGGTCCAACGTGCGAGAAACCACATGCCTTGTTTCACACACTACACTGCTGGTGAGTATGCAACAATGGATTAACAAATAGTAATAAAAATATGATAACTCAATGGGTGTACGGTCACCGCTGATTAACTGTTGTAATTACATTATATCCCTAGCTTTTCAAGACCTCTTATTCAGTACATTGGCATCTTTAGAAGGGAGGTTTTATATTAGTGACATTATTCTTAAAGGAAAACCCTACATACATTGTACCTAAAATCATAAATTTCTAATAGAGTCTATGATTACTAGAAGCATAGGTATTCCAACTATTTGTAGACTCCCTATGAGCCATAATATATTAATGACCTTAATCCCTTCTCCTTTTTTTGAAAATGATGAGCCTCTTTAGCTCCCTTAGGTATAAATATACCCCTTAGAGTATATATACAAGTGTATATATAAATATGATCAGTATCCCTTTATTGGTCAAAAATCTTATTACAGCTAATGATCATTTAATACTTCATGTTAATATGATTCCCTTTATCTAAATGTGCATCATTGTTCTTTATAAAAAAAATTCTCATCAGGGAATCTTTCCTTTCCCATATATATGAATTGTAGAGGATTGTATATATGTTTTTATATTCAGCTTTTTTTATATATTTGTTCCTTACGTAAAAGGTTTAGTGCACATACTGGGACTTAAGACATCTGTCTATGGAATGTGATCATCCACATGGATATTTACATAAAGTGAACAGCACGCACGTCGGACATAGCAACCTACGTGTGCGCCATGACGCTAAACAGACGCGACCCTCTGATGCGAGCGTCACAACGTCATTTGGGTGCGACCTGCGCATACAAGCGGGCGCGCCATATTACATATAAATATGGGACTTATACTGCTTTATTCTGACAGGGCCATCGAAGGGATTTATTCATATCCCGAGCGCGCAGCCCACACAGGAGCCCCTGCACCAGCCAGCACGCACAGGAGATCCAGCTGACAAGATCCACATCCTGACGTACCCTGGCACCTCAGGGATTAATGAGGAACAAGTGAGGAACTACACTACACATATTACCTGCAAAAAAAGAAGAAAAGAGGTTCTACAACGACAGAGGTGTCACCTTTACATTAAAAGATACTGGACAACAGAACTTTTTCTTCCACCGGTGAGATCCACCCATACACTATAGTGTGTACACACTGGGACTGTTTATACTTACTTTTTTAAATCTTTTTTTCTTCCTTTTTTTTTCTTTTTTCCTTTTTTTTGACTTTTTGAAAGGAACTTTGGACATTTTTTGGTTTTCCTTCTTTTGTTCCCACTTATCCGATTTTTCTCTGGATAAAAAAATCTTTTGGAATATCCGATACAGCTATCTAGTATCATGGTCAGGGACTCTTATAGTTAACATGAAGTTACAACAGGAGATCCATAAAGTATTGTTTCTATTAACTTGTTTGTATATATTATCAATCTAAGCGTGTATATATTATCAATTTTTCAGACTTTAAAACATAACTTCACCAATGAATTATATTCACGTAAGATAATGAATTCACCAATGATTTATTAAATTTAGCAATGAAATTCATCTTTAATTTATGAGTGCAGTATCATTTTTTTGTATACGGTATTACCAAGGCTAAAACCATAATAGGGCTGGAAAAATGAAACCTTCTACAAGACATATGCTGCAAATGTATACATTTTATTACAAATTTTGAATAGAAAATAATACAGATCTACAAAAGATCCTACATCTTTTGTAGAGGTGTATTATTTTCTGTTCAAAATTTGTAATAGAAGAGGCCAAATCGAGCTTGTAGTGTTTTATAAATGTGACCAGATAGGACCTAGTGGCAGCCTTGCATATAGCATCAGAAGGAACCTCTGTCCAATTATCCCAAGAAGTTGTTAATGATCTTGTAGAATGAACCAGATAATACCGCACATTCAAGGAGTTTGAGGATCGGGAAAAAAGGATGGTAGAACAAATTCTTAGAGACCTGGTCTGAGAGGCACTTTCCAAGAGTGATTGATAGCTAACTTGCGATGGGGGGGCATGGACAAATTGGGATACTTGAAAATACTTTGTTCCCTTCTGATATTATTTTCTTCAATAGGTGAGGTGTTAAAACTAGGGGAGAGAACACATTCCCCAGATCTAAATTCCAAGTTTCAGACAGTGTCCTGACCTACTGACAGAGGATCTGAAATCACTGAATAAAATCTGGAGACTTGTGTATTCCTCCGATTTGCCATTAGATTGATCTGAGGTACGCCCCACCTTTCTGTGATCATATTGAACACTTCTGGATGCAGGCTCCATTCCCCTTGTTGAATGTTTTTACTGCCAGTGTATTTTTGGTTCCTGGAAGATAGAGTGCTTTGAGTCCCATCAGATGGGTGAATTTCATGGTTTCTGGGCAGATTTCAATAATGGATTCAGCTGCTGAAGTAGCTGTTAACCCTCGGTTATTGATATACACTGCTACAGCTCTGTTGTCAGTGCATATTAAGACCCATTTGTTATAGAAGGAAGAAAAACTTCCAGGCTTTTTGAGGTGGCTCTCTGTTTCCTGAGGTTTGAGTACAGTTTCATTTCATGAAGAGACCAAATCCACTGAATCCAACTTGGTTCTCCGAGTGGAAACCCTTTTTCGAAAGTTTCATAATGAAACCCACCAATTCAGATGAGTTATTAATTGTAGATTAATCTTGATCAATTCGCCCCAATCATTCTATTACTGCTTGAATTGATTTAGAAAATTAATCTGAATGGGACTTGAATTCTATTATTATTATCATTGCCATTTGTATAGCGTCAACAGATTCCTTAGCGCTTTACAATATTGTGAGAGGGGGGATTTAACTATAAATAGGACAATTACAAGAAAACTTACAGGAACGATAGGTTGAAGAGGACCCTGCTCAAATGAGCTTACAGTCTATAGGAGGTGGAGTATAAAACACATTAGGACAGGAAATAGCAATCAAATAAGGTGGGAGTGAAGCAGAGCTGGAGGAGAGAGAAAAGTGCTGTCCTTTAAGAGAGAGCAAGAGACAGGTATGTGAGGTAGAGGTTACTCTGGGAGGCCATAAGCTTTCCTAAAGAGATAGGTGTGACAGAGCTCCCTGTACCCCTGGCTGGGTACCTCCGCCAAGGACTGCTTCCTAGCTGGAACGGGAAAACCCGCAGCACTTCTGCCCACAGTTGCTGGGCCCTGGAGCTGAATGGGGAACTTGCTCTAGCAACCCCCAGGCACTGGATGACACTCAGTCCTGGGAGCTGTAGTCCTTACAAAGAGGTAATAAGGTAAATGAGGTAATAAGTTTGCCAATAGTATAAAATAGAAAATAGAAGGAGACCAAGGACAGAACCTTGGGGGACTTCAACAGAGACAGGACGAGGGGAGAAGGTATTATTAGAAAAGGAGACACTGAATGGGCGTTGGGAGATATAAGAGGAAAACCACAAGAGGACAGAATCAGAGAGACTGAGTGATTGAAGAGTTTGAAGGAGAGCATGATCAACCGTGTCAAAGGCAGCAGAGAGGTCAAGAAGAATTAGTTTGGAGTAGTGGCCTTTGGATTTAACTGCAATTAGGTAGTTAGTAACTTTGATAAGAAGCCAGATTGAAGAGGGTCAAGGAGAGAGTTGGAATTGAGGAAGTCAGACATTTACAGGTAAAGACAAGTTTTTCCAGAAGCTTTGAGGAAAAAGGGAGCAGGGATATGGAAGGATAGTTAGAGGAGAAGGATGGGTAAAGAGCTGTTTTTTTTCAGGATAGGTACTACAGTGGTATGTTTAATGTCAGCAGGGACAATGCCAGAAAAGAGAGAGCAGTAAGATGTGTGTTAAGGAAGGCACAAAACAAGGGGAGAGAGATCTGATAAGATGAGATGGGACAGGATCGAGCGGGCAAGTGGTGGGGCGAGAGGAAAGGAGAAGCGCAGCCACCTCATGTTCAGTAGCCAGGGAGAAAGTCTGAAGGGTAGGAAAGGCATGATGTACGCATGGTTGAGAATGAGAAAGGCAAGGTGGGGAGAATTATTTCCTTAGCTGTTCAATCTTGTCGGTAAAGTAGCATGCAAAGCTATGTTTGCAGACTGTACTATTGGGTCCATCTCACAAAACTTATTGTAGAAGTGAGAGATCCCAGGAAATTCATATAATTTCTTGCTATAATGGATTTCTTCATCATCGTTTCCTCATTTTCAGTTGTATACTAGATATTCTGTTTGTCGAAATTTGACCTAAAGAATTTATGGTGTCTATTACCGCTTCCAAATATATGATCTGGCGAGAGAAACAAGAAACTCTTTTCCCTGTTTATGGCCCAACCATATTCATGATCTTGTGTATATATAATTTAGATTGATCTCCGTATGATTGTTTGCTGTTCTGAGCGATGAAGCAACGATGATGATGTTGTTTCAGTAGTGGGATATTCTTATCCCTTGTTCTCTTAGGATGGTTATGAGAGTCAGACTTAAACCAAAGAGGAGATCTTTGAATTGAAATTGCTGCCCAAAGACATAGAATCTCAGGAATTTAACATGCTGAGGGTGAACAGAAATCTAATGATATCCATCCCTTAAATCTATTGTGAAGTGATCCAATCTCCCTGTAATGGAGCAACCCGTACTCCGACCGAGTACCCTCCATTGATGGACCCTTCCTAGCTTGCGCCGAGGACCACAAGCACCACACCGGACCCAAAACCGCCGTAGCTTAACTGGAGCCTCGCCGTCTTCCGTCCACCCAGGATCAGCTTCTGTCCTCCAGGACCGTGTGGGAAAGACCTCTTCCTTCCACCCTGTGTGAACCTCCAGCATCCAGGACTGTGTGGGGAAGACCGTGTCAGGAACAAGCTCTTAAAAGAGCTAAGTGATTCAAGCTCAGGAGAGTATGCAGAGCATAGCAATCCCCAGTGTGATTATAACAGCTCCCTCCAATAATGAGACAAGGTTACATTTTGAGAGATCAAGAAGAACTGTCTAAACCTTTATTTTACTTGGGACTAGCCCATATGGTCATTACATTAACAATGCTGTGAAAACTCAATAAAATTACAAACAGCCAAATCATAGCAGGCAACATACAGTGACTTATTATAACACAATGGCATATTTTTAAAGGGGTGGGAGAGACAATATTTAACAGAACATATCTCACGTGCCTGCAGAATTAGCAATATGCAAATCTACCTGAATATGCAAATGAACCAGTCTTGCTATTCAGGTAGTGCATATTGCTGTTGCAACCAACAGAGGGCACCAGACAAGCTCCATAGCCAAATCCACCTAGTTGGTAGCAAACATCAGCAGTACAGGAGAGCAGGCAATACATTTCACAGTACACACAAACACTATAAACAATTACATTACACACACCCTGCACCTATAATGGGTACAGGGTGACTAAAACATAAGAGAAATAAAGCAACCTACATAAATAGTTTGTCTGAAGGCAGAATAGGGGCTTTAAAGCCAAATACATCAAAGAGTCATAGTCACAGGGGAAGAGGCTGGCAAGCAGGCCTCTCCAGGACCAAGTGGCGAAGGGCCCTTCGTCACACTCCCTTTTTTTATTGATGGGATAATAGTGGAGATTGATTCCATCTTGAAGGAAAGATTTAGTAATTCCTGGTTTATGTCTTTTAGGTCTATAATGAGTCTCTATTTCCCTTGAGGTTTTGGTTCTAAAAACACTGGAGTACAAACCTTTGAATCTCTCTATTAGGACCACTCCTTCTCTGACCTCTTGATCTCGAAGTTTTGAAAGTATCTAAATCATGGCTTCTTGTTTTATTGGATTCACAACCCTTGAAGACATTTGAGAAAGGGAATTTTGCCAACTCAAGTTTGTCGCCTTCTCTTATTTTTAGAGCCCTTAATTCTGAAATGTTGTTTGTCCAGATAGCGTAGAAGAGATGTCTTCCTCTGATAAGTCTTGGCTGAACCAGCACACCTTTATAAGTTCTTTGTTGTACAGTATCCACTTCCTCTA